AATAGGATGCATCTGTCAAGTCAAAATTGACGCCTTTAGGTTTATTGTGCTCTAAACATAGACTAGAACTACTTAATGTCTGGAATTACAAACTTGGTATTTTTTTTTTGTGCTGCAGTGAAATATGCATTGTAAGCTCTTCCAGTCAGCCCCGTTTTACATCTCACTCTGCCAGAATAATTGTAATTAAACTCCAAAAGTGTATATTAGGTCTACCAAAGCCTTGCCTCGGCAGTTCTGTGTACTGCCTGAGAAGTTAATATTTTTATCGCTCTCTAAAGAGCGAAAGATGGGATAGGAGTTTTTGAAACTATAGCTGCCATTATCAACTAAAAATAGACATATACTAGATTTCTTCAGGCAGGGGAAGCAGTTAGCTTAAGCACATCAACTCCAATGGGTGTTAGGCCACTATAATTGACACAGCGTGTTATATAGAAGGGTTGGTTATACAACCTATAGATGCTAATCCCTTGCCTAAGAAGAGCGCAGTCTCTTCACGTTGGGAAGTGAATCAGACTTTATAAACAAATCTCCTCTCACTAACTTACTGCAACTGTCAGCCAATGAATGGGAATAGCTGAATCCGTTATCTGGCGTTAAAAGTATCAGCTGGCAAATCATTCTGTCTGTCTTGGGCAGGAACATCAGCTTAGTCTCTTACAAACATTTACTTTACAAAATCCTTCATGTTCAAATTCGGATTCATGCTGTTACTAGCTTTATTTCAAGCGAAAAAGTAGAGAGGCTTTAAAATGTGGAGAGCTTGCTGCAGGGTCTGGAGTCCTGCAGCAGCGTGAGCCGTGATGTGCCGGCGAACAGGAGAGGAGGCGCGTTGAGCGCGAGGGGCAAGGTCTGCCCCTTTGCCTGCACCGTTTCTGCAGTTAGCTTGCCAGGCTGCATGGATGCCCCCTGTGCTTGGCTCTGCCTCACGGAAAATAGGTGCAGGAACCAGATGGAAGGAATTATTATGGAGCGTTATTTCCAGATGGGCATGTAGGACCACGTTTGCTTGGTACCTTATCTTTTCCTTTGTACACACTTTCCTCCTTACAGTTGCTTGTGTTCGTCATGGTGGGGGAGCATGTGACCCACTGGAAGGCAGGAATTCCCACAGTAGCTTTAACCACTACTTTTATCTAAAATCTTAGTTCTGGAGTAGGAGTTTAAAAGAAAGGGTAAGGGGTTTTATTTAGTGAAAAGTTCTATGAATACTGGTAGTCATAGTCCTTAGGCTTCTGGTGGTTAACTTTTTCTCTAATCCTGTGACTAATCCATATTAGGTACCAGAGAAATCAGTCGGGAAAGAGATAAGAATGAAGTGATTGTTTTTAAAAAAGTTATATCTGCTTGAAAATGCATGAACTTTAATTTAATTCTGAAAGCTCTTCTGTGATTATGAACGTTTGTATTCCTTCTCTCTCTGCTCCCCAGTAGGTTCTTTGGTGGATAAGAAGCGAGCTTGGTAAGGATTTCTTTAATAAATTTTCATTAATAGGAAGCCGAGCTAAGAGATTGCCATTCCGGATTCCTTTTGTTCATAGAGTCCTTTTGGGTCACAGCTGCTTTTCATCCTTCTAAAGAGCTCTGATGACTTAAAACTGTTTCTGAAGGAACCCAAATGAGCACATTGTCTGATTTTTTTTTTTTTAATTATTATTATTTTTTTTTAAAGTGTGAACAAGTCTGAATGAATGGCCAAGTATTGCAAATTCCTAGGTGACCTCACCAGCAGGAAGTGTGGAAAAACCTGCAGAATGGGTTGATCTGCCTTGGTCCGTGTCTCCAACTGGCTTTCATTGGGCTTGCTCCAAAACTGAGCTTGTGCTTTTAGTGCACTTTTTGACATAAAAAGACATTTTTATATGCTTTAAAGAAGCGCATTCTTTCAGAAACAACTGCAATTGTTATTCAGCTGTTAATCACAAAAACGTGACTATTAACTGTGTAGGCAAATGTTTTGTATACTGAGTGATGTGAGAGAAGCAGACAAATGACCATTTTGACAAAAATTCTCCATGTGGGAAAACGAATGACATGGGTAATTGCTTAGTGATTCATAGTCAAAAGTGTTTTGCATGCAGATTACAAGAGCAAACAGTGGTTTCAAAAAGTGATGTATGTGCGTATACTGACACCTCAAATTCAAAGGTATTCTTCCAGAAGTAAGTGATACTGTCTGTGTTTGCAGGCGGGCTCCTAATTTGTAAACTAGGACTTTGTGATAATTCTGAAGGACTAGGCTGACAATAGTCTGCCCTCCTGTTTGTTTTTAGCTTGCCTTCCCTTTATGGCTGTAAGCGATGACTCTTTTTAAGCCAGAAATTGCTGTTTGTTCAGTTGCTGGCCAGTGCCTTCCCACTGACCTCAGGCTCGTAAGAATGAAGGTGGAAAAGTGGGGAAAATATGGACCATCTTGAGATACCGTTGTGTACAGTGTAACAAGAAGAGAGAGGGCTGTTGTGAGGAAACATGACAAACTCCTAGTCATTTTGACTTTCTCCTCAACAAGGACGATATTGCACATTACGATGTATGTAGGGCAGACTTCAGTGAGATCGATATTGTCTCCTCTTTTCAATAATTCCATTAAACAGCTGGGAGAAACAGGCAGCTGAACCTAGGACCAGTTGTTATAATAGCTACATTTCTAGTAAATTAAACAGTGCCAGAGAACATTCTTGGGCGCGGGATTCTGGCTGTCTATATGGCATGATTGTAGCAGGGACTGTTCTTGTTGTGGGCCGATCTGTATGGCGTTAAACAATCCCTGGGCAGGGTTTGTGAATTAGCTTCTACCAAGGATCATTCCCAGTGTATGATTTGGATGCAGTTGTTCCTGTCTATGCCAGGTGGCCTCCCTGCCAGAAACTGGTCCCAGACCTGTATCATTTTTTAATATAGCTTTAATTTACACACCCAGAGTGCACGTATCTTGCGGCCACCCGTGTTGTAGAGGTGTTAAAACGTCTATGGGAAATTGGCTTTGTGATTATTTAACAGAAAACCCAAACAGCTGGCTTAAACAAGACCCAGCCTTTGAAACTGGTCAGCCTGTAACCATGTCTGTTAATCTGAGATCTATAAAAATGAGTTTAAGAAACCTGAATTTGAGACCGAAAACAGTTTGAGGTTCTTGAAACTAACTTCAGCCAACTGTCAGGGGAGGACAGATCTTCTGAGGCCACAGCGCTGAGCAGCAGTGTGTGTACCGCTGTATTCCAGCGTACAATGTCCAGTGTGATGCGGCTGCAGTCAGGACTGAAACCCAGCGGGAGCGCAGAGATGGCACTGGTGGCCTCTGTGGTAGGGTACTCCCATCAGATCTCCATGTTTCCATGCTGCACCTCAGAGGCCCAAGCACTGAACCTGTTACCTGTGCCAGTATTTCTCCTCATGCTTCCCGACAGTGAAGATGCGTGCTGTGGTGGTCAAGGTGATTTCTCTCCACAAGCTTTTGCTTTTGACACCCAGGGGAATGTTTGACCGATTTGAGCTGAGTGTTGCTTTGTCGTGTCCCATGGATCTGGGAGACAAGATATAAACATATACCAGCTCATCCCCTGCTGAAACCGTCCTGGCATGGCATCCTTCCAGCAGGTTTGATGTAACTGCAGCTGCTCTGTGGGCTGCCAGTGGAAGAGCCCAGGCCTAGGCTATGATGAGTATAACAGTCCTTCCACTGTTTCAGGCCACATGAAAGCTTTGGCCCTGTACTTTCAGAGGAAATAATAGGACAGTGTCAAGCTTTAACAAAGACCAATTTTGAAATACAAATCAATAATGCCTACTCCTTTGAAATAAGCATCCATTTGGGGGTTATGTATTGAAGAGAAAGGATTCTTCATCAGGGTGATTCAGATGTAGAGCAAACCTTTGAGATCAGGCAAACATGGATACTGTCCACAGGAAGGCTTCACTTAAGCTTTTCATCTTGGAAAAGACCTTCAGTCATAAACATGACCCTTCTGCTCCTCTTAGTCCCTACAACACTTGAAATAAGTTGGACCTGAAGTACCCTCAGACCTTACTCCAAGCATTGTTTTTACCCCATATATCTTTCCTGTAACCAAGACTTCAATAAAATCTGCAAAGATCTTTGGCGCTGCTGCCAAATGGCTCTAGAAATATCTAATTGTAGTATGTATTAAAACTTTAAGATAGATAGAAGATAATAAACTTTCATTTTCTGATTAAACTGGTAATGCTATGCAGGAACCAAGAGGAAGTATTCTACTTAAATAGGTTGTGAACTTCCCTACCTGAGAAGAGCGTAGAAAACTTCAAGTACAAAAAATCAAACAAAGTATTAAATGAATTATTTTAGAGTATGTTTGCAGTGAATTGCACTGTACAGCTACAGACACTTGTTCTGTAAATTTGCTGTGGGTCTTCCTGCCTTGTCCAGGTTACCTGCCACTGATAATATAACAGAAGGTAGGTATGTTGTTAGGGCGTACATATGTTACATATGTTTTCTTGGTGACAGTCTTGTATAGCTTATTTTTGTACAGGCTATTTCCATTTGGGTCCGTGGCTGAGGATTCACATTATATTTATTTCACTTTTTTTTCATTCTCTTTTGTTTGCTACAGCTTTGTGCTCTATTGGATAAGCCTCTATTTGTGGGGATAAGGCACTATTCTAAACTGAAAAATGTCTTTTCCACTTCCCATCTCAAAACCGCTTACTGATATGTCTCCCATTGGGAAGAATAATTTGCTTTTGCTTCAGTATATAAATGAACACTAAAACGATCATAAATCGTTTCACCCTGCTCCAACATCACATCATTTGAGAGTTTTGCTGCTGACCTCGGTGTGAGCAGGATCAGATGAGACGCTGGCGTTATTGGAGAAGCGTGTCTACAGCTGCTGTGTAAGGCAGAATTATGATAGGAATCCCTTAGCTTTTGCTGCCACAGTAAATGGCGTAGGAGAACAGTGGAGGCAAAAGTACAATGTAGACATTGGCTGTAGCATTGTTGTTCAGCATTTGGCATGGCGCTGGCTCATGGAAGGTATGTTCTCTTCCTACTCCTGAGCTTACTGAGTTACTGAGCCATGTGTGACTGTTCAGAGGTGGGCCCTTCAGGCTGAGGCATGTTGGGTTTTCTTCATCTTTCACAATACGCTATTGTTCTTTCCCGGAACGTGAGAGTGCTCATCTGCTCTCGTTTGAGTTTCTTCCATGGGATGTTTTGTTGTAGGAGCTTTTTGTATTCACTCCCTTTTCATAAAAAGCGTCTTGTTTAGTTCTTAATGTCACTTTAACTGTTCTCAAGCTGGTTGGTCTGAAGTTCTTCCGTGATGTGAGTCCTCTGGTACTGAGGAAGTTATATTGGGGATTATAGTCCAGCCCTAAGTGGTTACAGGACTGTGATTGCCTTTTTGAGGTACAAGATCAGAGGATTAAGAAAGCAAAAAAATTTTTATAGACTCGTGTGTACCTTGAAGACTCAGGACGTATGATTTTAAAACAGTCTTGATAGGATTTTTCTACAAAACATTCTTCTTTTGCTGTACTACAAGTCCATACTTTCTTGCTCATGGTATAAATAGGCTCTGCCTCCATTGCATCAAATCTCATGGAATCAAGGACTGTAACCAGACAGTAAGATAAAGAGGAGCAGATCTGGGCTCTAATAAACTTAAAATATGAGTAGATATCAGCAGTGCAAAAGTAACATGAAAATAATCAGAACAAGAGGTCTAACTTGGCTCCCCTTCCTCCTACATAGCTACATTGATACCTTTTCCTGATATCACAGATCTGAGTGACACTATGTTGCCATTTGGTGATGTTATGTATTACCTGAAAAGTTAGTAGGCAATTTGGAGAAAAAAAAAATCAATTGCTGAAGCTGAAAGTAGAAATGGAAAGTTTCTCTGTAGAGGGAGGGCGTAGGAAGAACATGTGATTATCCATCCTGTCTAACATAGGATTTTAATTCTTGTCTACTCGGAGAGTATCCAGGCTTCGGCTTATTTTTTTTAAATGCTGTCGGTGGTAAGTACTTCACCCTTGACAAGTCTTCATAGTGGTTAGTTATTGTCATAAGCACTTAGCAGGCACAGGGGACTTCTGACTTGACTAGGTCTCCTGGGGAGAAAATGGCCAGACTGCCAAAGTAATGACCGTCCTATGAGATGACTTAGCATCAGCTATTTTTGTTGTCAGACGTATGTTCGAGATTTGATTCTGGGAAGTAGAGTTTCAACCTCTGGGTGCTCAAAAGATCCTATAGCTTATTTTGTCCTCTTGGGTGTTCTTACCACTAAGCTATTATGGAACGAGGGTGAGCAGAGTATGGGTATTGTGAGCAGAGAGTTTGGGACCCAGGTGCTTACGCAGTCCAATGCGGGACTGCAGGTGTGTGCCAGGGCGTGGGTGGAATGAGGGATTTCACACACCTTTTTGGCATTGATTAGCTTGATCCGCCATATTTAATGCACTGTTTTAAGAGTCCTATTTTTGAAAACTCACCTCTTTCAAGGCAGCTGTGCTCCCAGATCTATGCGTTTATATGAAGCTGGATCCTGCTGCTGCTTTCTTTGTGTCCTTGATTGATCTCAAACACCTGTTTATTACGCAGCTCATGTTTTTTATGCAAACTCATGTTTTGCAAATATTTCCTAAACAGGACTGAATTTGAATCTATGCTATGTGTTTGTTTATTCAAAAACTAAGCTGCTTTGAGCACAAAAATGTTTTACTGTTGAGACTCAGTCGTACCTCGACTCAAGTTGGGAAGGGAAGAGGAGGAGGAACTTGGCAGGAACCAGTGCTATGGCATTAAATGTTGAAACTTTTCACAAGCACTACAGAGGAAACCAATTGAAGTGAGGTTTTTTTCACTCCCTGAAAATATGCACAGTGAAAATATTTTGTTTCAAGTACAAATTCTGCAGTATTCAGTTGAAGAAAAAAGATAACATGAAATCATACTCAGGTGAATAGTCTGTATTGGGTGTCCTTTTAAAGCCATTGCTTAGTTTCCTATATGTTTGTTTCACAGGAACAGATGGTGAACCTTCATTTGGCCAAAATGCAAAAAAAATCCTGTCTGTTAATGAAAACTGCCTAATGGATATATTGTCTCAGGTAACAATGCAAAAACCAACTAATTGTATTTGTGAGGTACCAAGCAAAGTAAAGTGTACTATTTGAAGAATCCTTAATGTGGTATATGCTTTCCATGATACATATTGGGAGGTTACATACAGAAAAAATACTTAACTGTCTAGTGTAGCTGGAAAAGTTTTCATTACTACATCTGTCACTGCCAGAATGCTTCGTAAATGAAAAGTATTTGAGTTGAATTTTTCCCTTCTTTCTGGTGCTGGGCTGACTTCATGTGAAAAGCCTTCTTGATACACCAGCAATTCTAAGAATGGTTGGGGAGAGTTTTGGGGTTTGAGGGATTTGTCTTCAGCCTGCTGCCTCAATTTGGATAATCTTTTATTGTCAAAATACTGCACTGTTTTGGATGTCTTGACTAGGGTTTACTGAGCCTGGGAAATATGCTCTAGAGGACCCTGCTTGAGCAGAGAGGTTGGACTAGATGATCTCCAGAGGTCCCTTCCAACCTAAACCATTCTGTGTGATTCTCTGTGATTCTGTGAGCCAGCTGCTCACTACTGCCCTTATCCACTGCAGATTCTGTATCATTTGTGCTTTATAACCTGTTGCCCTACTGCTTATTCTCTCCTTTCCTTACCTTCCTTTCTGTTTATTCTTTCAGTGGCCCTGTCTTACCAATCTGAAACTGAAAAGAGGCAAGGTGTCTCTTCCCTGCCCAAGCTCTCAGAGCGGTCACGCATGCTTAATAATGCTGAATGCTGTTAAATAACATATTCAGTAGTCATCTGATTTAATTAAAAAAAAAAAAAGAAGTGGGGTAGCTTGGATTGGAAAAACAGTGGCACACAAGAAATCTGATAAAGAACCTTGTGTATTGGTGATGGAAGTGTGTTTGGCTTGTTTAGCTGTTTTTATCTGCCAGATGTTGCCTTCTGAAAAGCTAACATACCCAGTGTATCTTCCAGCAGCTTCCTTGTGCCATCTCATTGAATTTTTTTTTCTTTAACTGCTTAAATATTATTAAAATGCATTCAGTTGTTTGGAATAATGAAGACCCCAGGTGTGTGTGAAGCCTCCAGGCAAGGGGGAGTGGGCTGGGATGCTACAAGCAGTAGCAAAATGGAAATAAAATGGGAAGAGATTTGTTCCTTTGCAGTGAGGTGGAAGGAATGGCAATTTTTGCCTTTGCCTCATCGCTTCAAAGCATGTTTGACTTGGTGAGGAAGGGGACAACAGCTGCTTGAGCAGGTATGTGGGCTAGCACTTCAGTTGCCTGGGGATGCACAAATGCTGAAAGCTTGCTGCTGCCAAGGAAAGGAGACCTTGGTGGGCTGGTGGCTGTGAGTTAATAGGTACTTCAGAAAACAGGAGAACTGGGGTGAGGAAGGAGTGTCTGCATCTTTCCCACACATACATGCACATTTGAAATTTCAGTTCTTGCTTACAGAGTGAGTATTTTTTAAAAAAAGCAAGTCTAGCAGGACTTGTAAATCGCTGTCAGCCCTTGCCTAACTAGGGTGCCAGAGCTAAAACTCTGGGGAAGGAAATAGCTTGGTTGAGATGTGGATAAAAATGAAAGCAGCCAGAAGGTCAGACAGTGTGGGTTGGCTGGGAGAACTAATAGAAGAATAGAGAAATGTCTCCAAGGTTAAGCGATGGATTTGCATGGAAGGAGACTGCTGGGCAGTCCTCTTTGCCTATGTGTCTCAAGTATAGGTTACTAGTCAACCCCAGGGAATGCTAGGACATAGATCCCCAGTGCTCAGTGGCTCCTAATTAACATGTAGCTGCCGTGCCTTGAGCTTTTGTTTCCTTCCACAGAAATATTTTCCTTTCAAAAAACTCAAACAAATGCAACTGTTAACTGTCTTGGCCAGAAAAAAAGAGAGTAGGAAAAGCAAAGACAAGCCTTGGTCTTTCAGACTTGTGTGAATGAAATAAGCATTTTAAAGGTGCAGTGCTGGCAAGGGAAAGACGTTTGTGGAATGATCTGGTTGTTGCATTTCTAAGAGCCTTTGTTAGCTTGCATTTAATTAATACTGTGCAGTGCAGGTGATGAAAATTTGTGTGTATTTCCAAAACAACCCCTTTTGTTCACTTCAGTATTCAATGACATAACTTTTTCAGGTCTTTCTTATAAACTTCCTGTTCCTGTTCATTGGTATTATTTAGAGCAAGCTGTATGGCTGATCTTTCTGGGGGGTCGTATCCTACCCATAGGATAGCACTGTCTAACCTGAGTAGTGATCCCCTTCTTCCTCCCCACTGCAATAAAAGTTTGTTATAAAAAATTTTACCTCCCACTGGCCTCTGAGTAAATTATTAAAGTACCTCCCTCCAGGTGCCTTCCCTCCCTGCAGATGCTTAGTAGTTGGAACATCCCTGAACTAAATAAACTACTCAATCTCCTGCAGACTGTTAATGATTTACATTTCTTGGTAAGAGCTCATGAATTGCATATAGCCCTCCAAAGTTCATTGCATCCGTTTGATAGTAAGATACAATTCACGTGTATTAGAAGAGAAGTACTGGACTCTCAGGTCGTTCTACCTGGATGTCTTCAGTCGGTCTCAAATACCAGAACAGAAGAATGGGAGGAAGACCTGCTTGACACTGCAGATCATGTGTGGATGTTGGAAGCAAACCAACATTTCTAGTTGTGGGGAAGGCTTGAAATAACTGGACATACTACCCCAGTCCTTTTGCATAGTAGTAGCTTTATTCCATAAGCAAAACTGTTTCGCCGCTGCCCCAAGATCTATGTAAGAAGCAATCCTGTCTAACCTGTGAATAGCTGAGCCGGAATTACAAACCTGATTTAATTTTTCAGGCAGTGCTGAGCCTGCAAGGCAGCGGAATGTAAAGGACCCTTTCCTTATTTACTGCCTTTCCTCCATCTCAGCTCGTTTTGTTCCCCAGCAGATGCTGTGAGCTGAT